CCTGAAGTCCTTGTGTTCCTGCATTTTTATAAAGAGTATAAGAGATCTGTAAGAAAAACATTACTATTTCTTAATTAAAGAAATCCCAACCACCAAAAATCCTCAAGAAAATATCCAGCTACCCTGCAAAAACACCACTCCTAAATCAATTGCTTAAATTTCCTTTCTGTGCGGTTAATAAATAAAAGTATGAATCTTTGAAAATTTTACCTCCTCTCTGGAGTCAGATGGAGAGGAACAGAAAAGGTCACTTCCCTCCAGCACTCCAGAACAGGGAAAATGGGAATTCAGAGCCCAGGGATAGGGTACTTGGATAAAAAGGATGGTAGATAATGGGTTGGCAAAATCCAATTGGCTGCATTTGTAATCTGTTCCTGCCATATACAATCCTGGGCTGCAAAGCGTACCTTGGCACTGCAGCAGGGTGTTAAGTGGCTGAATTCAGGCCCTGCTAAGGAAAGAGAAAGCTCCCAAGCCAGAGAGTCCTGCCAAAAAGGCAGAAGAGGCACCTGGCACAGAGGGCTGAGTGAAGCTGGTGGTACGGGTGCCCTGTGCTCTTATCTGCTGAACTCAGCTTCTGCCTTGGTGATTACTGGGCCTTTCAAATGAGAAAGAGATGGGCAGCAAATAAAAATGTGAGTAATAATTGAAAATGTAGAAGAGGAAAGAGAAATTAGTTCCTCCCCATAGCTGTCTTGGGGATAGGCCAGGGATACTTAGTCCAGGCAGGGCTAATGCTGGAGAAGAGTCAGAAATATCCGACTGAGTTACTAGTCAGCTCCTCTTCCCTTCCTGTAGCACATTCCAGCTGGCTTACCTTCCCTGGCAGATGTAAAATATCTCTGGTCCACTTTGCAAGGGGACTGAGAGAACTCTAATATAAAGAATCAGCATAAAGCTACTTGAAGAAAAATAAAACACTGAAGCAATAACTAGGCCACATTAACCCATGTGTCCTCTAAAACATGAAGGGTATGAACTAGCATTTAGAAACCAATCATGAGCTAGTTAGATGCAAAATGTTTCACTAATGTGAAAGCTACAAGAGATGCTCTAATCTTTGATTACCCCTGAGGCCATAACAAACTCAGAAAGAAGCATATGAATTGCTGATTATTTTCTATGATGATAGAATCTGAGAAGCTGCTGATAATGTTTTTGTGCAGATTGACAGGTCCCTGGCTGTACTACTACAACTAAATGTGAGTCATGTAGTACCGCTCTCATTTCAGGACGAGGCAGAATATGCTGGAGTTTTGAGACTTCTCTTTTTGGGGAATACACAATCTTTATATTGGGAGATGGAGGCAGTGCTCGTGAAGTGATCATGATCTCATGAGATAAATCCTGGCTTTCAGCCACTTTAGCACATGTACCAAGATGTGATCACAAAGTATCCTTTCATCATTCAGTACGCAAGATGGATGACAGGAGGTGAAGAATCAGGGAGGTTTAGAGAAAGAATGGGACAGAAGGTAAAGCTGTGTGGTGGAAGCCAGCAAGTGTAAAATTCAAGATTATGTTATAATAAACACACAACAGGGATCACAGTAAACTTAGCTTTGATTTCCACTGACTATATACTTGACTTACATATTTTTGAATGTAATCAATATAGAAGTTGTTAACTTGTTAAGGCTTCTTTATAGTCATTTTAGTATGCTGAAAAAAAACCTCTGCTTTAACAATACCTTGTGGTCCATATCCATGTCAAACTGGAAGTACAAGTTTGGGAAGTTCCTATAATGATGGTTCCAAATTTTTTTATAAACAGGAACATTTTAAGTAATAATAGCTGATAATATGATTCAAGCTCTGCATTTCAGACAGAGGGGTATTGAGCAAGACCATTTTGGAACCTGATGCCAGGACAAACATGATGTCACCTTTGGATCCACTGCTGCATTGCTGACAGAGGGCTTGTCCTTCCATGCAGAAACTCAGGCTCAGACTCTGACAGTCTGATCATGCCTCTACTGTTCTGACAAAACTACTTGCAGCTGACATGAAAAGACCAGGGAAGACAGCACCTATTCTGCAATACCTCTTCATTTGGAATCCTTCATCCTGCCCTTACAAGATCCCCTTCTGGCTGATCTGTTAAAACAGAAAAGTTTTATTCCCCTTACTGAGGAATAAAGATATGTATCCAGTGAGTTAGTGCAATCATTCCCCAAATAATTTTCCCTATATAATAAGTCCTAATGAACAAAGACAAATTTAATTGCAGCATGAATTGGCAATTACTGTACATACATCCACAGCATAATAAGAGCTATTAATGATATAAGAGAAGCAAATTGGAGACAGCTTAAACTAAATCACACAATTCCATCAAGAAAATAAGATATGACTGAGGTAGGTATTGCTTTTACAAAATCAGGGCCTGCTCACTGCTTCAGTTGAAAGTACTCCTTGTGGAGAGAAGATAGGGATCAAAACAGTTCCACAAAACACTAATGTTTTATCTGGAGAATCACTGATGTTTTCAGAACTGAAAACTGTCAAAGTTAACTAAATAAGAAAGGGTTTACCCTAGATTTTAAATATGTTTCCATAAATAAGAGAAGTTCTTTGGGGAAAAAACTGTAGGGGGTGTTCCTTGAAGATGTTTGTAGTTAATACATTTTACCTTGTTTTTCTGCCTTGGTAGTTACTGTATTAACACCCATGCAAAACTTTCTTTTTTTAAGGCCACTGATGTTAAGTTAGAAACCACTCCTAGCAAGGTTTAGAAAAATGTTTTTGTCTCTGACAGCCATTGAAAATGCAGGGGGATCCAAAGAAGTTTTGGCTCGGACAGTTTCTTTCTGCCTCCTTCAGTGAACACATGCAGGCAAAACCAGCACCCCAGAAAGGTCCTCCCAGTCTTTTGGAAGGCAAAGAGATGAAGGGAAGCACACTGGACGTTTCCCTGTCTGCAGTCCTTGACAAGTCCTCCAATGAATGAAGTACACAGATTTCCTGATTGATCCATAAAGCAAATGATGGCTTTCTTGGCTCTTCTAATAGTCACTTCCTGCACAATATAAAAAATTGTGGTTCTTTGGATGATACATATGGATCAACTGAATTTTGCTTCTATAACTCAAAATCATCTTCTGGAAAAATTGTTTTAAACACTTTTACATACTATTGCCACCACTTTGGAATGAATAAGGACAAAAAAAAAAATGCTACATATACAAAACTTAGAAATCTACCTTTGCAAAGGTTGTGCTAAGTTAGAAATAAAGGAAGTGCATGACAGCTGGCATTCATTGTGCCTGTCAGTAGATAATCATGAATGATTTAGTTTTGCAATGAGCTTTGGAGTCCATTGTGAAAGACTCTTAAGGAAAATCAATACCTGAAAGATAAATGGCAAAGTCTGCAAATTAGAAATAGAGAAGTACTGAACCACTGTTTCTTAAAATAAAGAGTTTAAATATGCAATGTCTGTATAGCAGCATAATTTTATATAATTATCAAGAATTCCAAGGGAGGAAGTAGACACCAAGTTGACAATGTTTGCTAATTACCCCAGGTCAAATTTTTAATCAAACCTACAGAAGTTTGGAGAGGAATGACAGTTGTGAATGATAAACATGCCAAGAATTAGGCAAATGAAAGGCAACCCAGATAAATATAAGCTAGGCAAAACCAGTGTAAATATACAAATTAATCTGTATCTAGAGGCTATTGCAACTCTGATATTCAGTAATACCACCAGAAAGCAAATAAGGATTGGTTGACTCTGAAACTACATCTGTAAAGAAAAGTTTCTCTGAGTCATAAAGAACAGTTATGTGAAAAAACTCACCGAGAAAACCTGTGCAACTAGAAAGCAAACAAATCAGTAGCAAACAAAATTCCTGAGAGTATTAGGAAGAGGATGGAAAATTAATATGAATTGCACCATGCCTAGATATGGTAATAGCACACTGCTTCCTTAATATGGTATTGAGTATTGAACCTGCTCTTTTAATGTACCTGTTTTTTCCTAGTCTTTTATATCTTTGTGCAAATGCACATCCCCACATCACCCTGATAAATGCACATTTTTCACACACATGTTCTGCAATGAATTAGTAACATTTGCTGCTGCTCATACCTTGGGCTGCTGACACGTGAGAGAAGCTGGTTCACATGTCACCCCACAGCCGCCCCACATCCCCACGGGCTGTAGCACCAGGCCTGTCAGCAAGGTGGATTTGCTTGGCATGAGGAAAAATAATGCCGTTGCTGCTCTAATTTCAGACAGACAGTTAGTTTGAGAAAGGAGACACTTGGCAGTAGTTCAGCTGGTGACTGTGTGGTGGTGATGACACTACTTCCCTTTCTGCACCCCCCCCCGCATCAGGTGCCAAGAGCAGCGTGCAGCAGTTCAGGTGACGGTCACCTACAGACACACTGTACCTGCACTGGGCAGGAATGACTCACAACAGTTTCCTTCCTTTTTTTGTTTCAAAAAACCCCAAGATGCTTTACCATTAAGTAAAAATAACAGTTTCACATTTTCCACATTGACAGTGTGCAGTTTTACACTCTAATTTTGAAATTATACAGAATTAACAATATCCTCCAGTTGCTTTCCTGGTTGTATTAGACTTAGTTTGATTCACAACAATGTAGGATTTAGGTCTTACCTGACACACCTGTCTGTCCTTGAACTTTTATTTTTTCCTTTTTTACAGCATATAGAAATACATATATCCAGACAAATGCTGCAAATCATTCTATTGTTTCTCAAATGTTTAGCACAGCATAGGGTTTTTTTTAATGTGCAAACACTACCTCAAGAGACCAAGTTAAAAATCAATCAGCCTCATTCACAGTGAAAGGCTTGGAGTGATGTCCAGCCTTCTATACAAAGGGAAAAGCAACCACCATGGCACAGAATAAAAGGGCTCCTAGAACTGTGTAAGCAATGCAATGTTTTAAGGCAGTTTCAGTACTGGATATTAGAACCAGATTGGAAAGTATACACTGAAACTAAATGTGGAAACACCTTTACTTACTGTGTTAAAATTTGGGAAGAATCCAACAGCAGAGCTGCTGTCCACAGGGAAGGACATAAAGGGTTTGATATCCAGGGAAGGCTGCATCATCAAGGTAGGTGTGCGCACAAGGGTGGGAAGTGTAGTAGTGCCTGCCAAGAGCAAACAAAACCAGGAATTCATGGTATTCTCCTTTCTGCAACACACACAGTATAGCTGACACAACTGCCAAGAAAAAATTACACAGAGGATGATGAAAAGGCTCTGTAGGAGTTAATATCATTAAAACAAACCTATTTAAACACAGTACAGACGAGGCAGAGCACTTCCCTATGGCCATGGATACTCAGATGTTGAAGAGAAGACATATGGTATATAAATCACACCGGCAGGTAGAATAAATCCTTTCTACAGCTGCAAAATTCTTCTTGTGCCAAAAAGGCCAGGATGGGTGCCCATGAAAGTCAGATGCTTGTGCAATTCATGGTTGCCTACTAGATCAGCCAGCACAGACAATACATGTATCCTGAAATCCAGAGATTTGTTTCCAAATAGTGATCTGTGTGTTATTTTTTCCCTCTTCTAAGTGTGAGGTGCTACACAAACACCATTTCATTGAACATGTAAAAATTTCCCTTTTTTATGGTGCAAGGCAAATACTAGGAAACAGCCAACAATTTAAAAAAAATCAGCTAGCATACAGATTAACACAATTCTTTACATGCAATGCTAAATATTTGCTAAATTGGAGCTCTCCAAACAAAAGTTTTCTAGAAATCCATTTGCTGATTTTTTTCCTCTATACACTTAAGAATCATTGCCCAGCAAGGTCCCAAAGGAATGAGCAGGCACAGACGTCCAAATATTTATTTTTAACTAGCTATCTAACCTATTCACTCAAGAAGGGTGCCTAGCACACCGCTCTCAGCTATGCTTGTGGGAGTATTTTTTTCCCTGAAATGATACAAAATAAATTTCAAATAAAATTTCCCTCATTGAAATACAAAGTGGAAAAAAAAAAAAACAAAAAACAACCAAAACCACAAACAAAAAGAAGCCCTCAGTGTCTCCTTCCTGGGTTGAATAAATAATTCAACACCGACAGGAGCAGGCAGTGGAAAACAAGTGTCCCACACCTCTAAAGGAAGGTGAGTCACTCTGTTTCTCCTACCTCTGTCACAATTTCTCCATAATTACCTCCTCCTCCCACTCATCAGTGGCCAGCAGCTGGGAGCATAACAGGCCTTAGGAGCTTCCCTTGTCTCAAGCACAGCTTACACAATACCTGAGCTTTTTCTCACAGAAGACATCTGAGCTTTTCTAACCCAGCCAGGAAGGGGATGGGCAGGAGGGAAGGGGAGGGGAACTGAGAGGCTGCTAGAAGGATGGGGTTAGAAAAGTAAACAAGCAATTTTCCTTCTCCCATAAAATGAAATCATTTGTATTCACTTGCAAAATGCCAGGCAATCCGTATGGGCTGCATGAGCACCAGTCTTCCATTAAGGGATCTGCCTTTCTGCCTACTAAGGACGCACAAAACTGAAGGCAAAGGAGAGATTTTCCTCCTTTTAACTGTCCTCTCTCCACAGTCACAATTTTAAGCCCATCGCATGGTATCCAAGAGGAAAGCTAAGTTCAGAAGCAGATGGGGCTGCATGGATTTTTTGGATGAACAAACTCTTACAGCTAGCCCTGAGCTCCAATTTTGTTGATGCTGGAGAGACAGTAATTTTGATCTCAGCTGCAGCATAGTAAACACTGTATTATGGTCTAGCACACGAATAGCAGGCTGTAATCTATTCTCCATTTCTTCTAAAGGAAAAGCATCATGATTGCACAAAGATGGGTCAGTGACAGCCATGCAAAATCATACCATCCCAACAGAGCTGCACAACTTGAAAGAAAAAATATGCTTGAGAAACTTTCCAAGACTATTTTCTCCCTTCTTCTATCCCAATACTTTCATAAATGTCAAGTTGTTTCCTGCATAAGCCCATGAGACTAATTGACAGTTGTGCCTAATTAACTGTACGTCAAAGCTTATTCAAGTGGAGTCACAAACGTCAAAAAGCTAAAGGCTAACATGCCTATAGTTTCTTAGTCATATCCATAATGGAAAAGATGAATCAATAGGAAAGCAGTGTGTCAGAGAATTTATCCAAAGAAAGTATCTTCAACTGCAAAAAATTATGATTATTTCTACTAGCTGGTTCTGAAACAGTAGATTTACATAATTTGGATTTCAGAGTTGCATTCAAACAGGAACTATGTTGTATTCAATTACCTAAAGGGCCATCATCAATCTAACTTCTGCAAGTTTCTCTTTGAAGTTCATAAGCAATTAAAGATCTGAAGTTAAAGAAGACCTATCCTCCTTTTACATAAATGTACTTCAATGAAGCTATGGTTACATATTCTAACTCAATTTTACAGAAAAAAAATAGAATAGACTTAGATTGTGACTGACATTTGAAATCAAAGTTACTTTTCTGACATGGTCCTTATTCAATGTATAGAAAACACATGGCATAAAATCTTTAAGGCATCTTGCTGCAAAAAATGCAACCTTCTTTGTACTCCTTGGTTGAGCACAGGATCTTTCATGTGAAAAAGACATCTGAAATCTCTCTCTAGTTTTGCAGTCCATGTTTTTTCTGCTGCCAGAGTAATTTATAATCAGGAGACTAGAATACATTTGGAGCCCACACAGAAAACATACACCTACCAGACGTATTAGTGAAGGCATTAATCATAAAAAATGTGTTCGTTTTGTTTGCCAATTTACTACTTCAACAATTGCCAATCAAATATTGGGAACCCTGTTGGACTGAAGTCTGGCTTTCAGACCCACCTCTGAAAGCCTCTGAAGGAATTATCAGGTCAAGGTGACCTAAATCACAAGTAGAAGCACTTAATGAAAAAAACATCAAACCAAATGCAACAGGGCAGTTTTACCCTGGCATTGCTCCCAATGGTCAAATAGATTCTCACCACTACTCCACCAAATCTTTATCCAGGCCTGAACTAAGCAGGAATATTGGCACAAAAAAGTTGTCACCGACAAGCTTCATTATCTTTGTGAATTTAACAGATGCTTATAATTTTATTAGCATTTTAATGATAAAGACAACTTACCATGTCAAGCACAGATTGTTTTAAACTACCTGTAAATCCTTACAAGAAAGATCAGTTATATTTATTCCAAAGGCATTTGCTTATTTCAGCTTCATACTTGTTAAGCAGTATTTTGTAACTTCAGTTTTGACTCCCACAGCAGGAGTTATCTAAGTGCTGGGAATGCAAGCTGTGGACAGACTTTGCAAAAGGTACTGATTCTCACTGGTCCCTTTTACCCTTGCTGAAGAGGAGAAAAAGAGGTTTTCAGCTTACACAAAATTTCTAATTTTGTTAAAAGTTTTTCTTCTTCCTACACATATTTGTCTGAACAAACAAGTCCTTGTGTAAGAGGTGCTGCTCCTCCTTAGCCACGTACACATGGCTTTGCATACACTGCAATGCACTGGGACACTGATGTTTCTACAGAAGTTAGGAAAGGTGGTAATCTTTACTCAAAATTAATCAGCCTCTAACAAATAAGGTGCAATGGATTAAGCAGTGCAAGTGATATTTTGGGGAGCAATTAGAACATCTTTTATCTGTCACTTCTGTAGCAAGATGTGTCCCCAGGACCAATGAAGCAAGCTTTAGCCTGTTGCCAACAAAGGGACAGATGACACAGGGGCTTGAAGAATCTCTACTAACACCCCGCTGGAAAAGAAAAAAACAGAATCCCAGACTAACAAGACTGCAATTTTGACAGAGGGAATCACAGTTAACTCTGGCCATGGTAAAAAGTCACTGGTGCTCTTCAAGTAAAAGCAGTGCCAAGATCAGTCAAATCTAAGAGCACAACTTCGCCCTCTGTACCTCTTTGTGACACTATTACTTCTGTGATCTTCTCACCAAATGCTTTTTTTTGTCACTGAAAACCACAAAAAAAAAAAAAAATGCAATGCCTGCTATTAATTCCTCAGATTTGGGTCATTATTAGACTGTTATACAAAAAAAGCCCAATTCCATCTTAAATCATACTCATATAAACCACATTTGTGAATTATTTCAGCTTACTTAAATGAATCATGTTTCAGACTTGAAAGCATTCTCTTCCAATAGCTTCATTAAAGGCAACTATAGAGAAATCTGAAGCCATACTCAAGTTTCTCCTGTTTTCTTGTTACCTAAAGATGTTACTACAGTTTTTAAATCCTACCATCAAAGGAAGCAATCCTCACTCAGAGCAAGACAGTGGAGGAGTAAGCACTCTCAGGACTGAATAGAAACATTTGAATGACTAATTTCTATGCATTGGACAATCTACATCCACCTCAGATTGCACATGGTTGCATTTGTTTTAATTTGTGCCACTGAGAGTATTTGGGAAAATTCCAAAGGGACATGGAGATATTCACACACACCACTACTTATGGGCATTACACTGGCAGTTTTCAGTTATGGACACTGTGCTGCTGTTTTCATCCCTCACCATGTTCAGCTGTGAGGAACCTTCACTTTCTACAGTAGTGTTGAGCAGTCTTATCTGGCCCCAGAACAGCAGCAATGTAAGTGGTATGACGGATCAATTCTGGGCTTTCTCCTCCCTTCTTTGTAGAACTGTGTTTTTGAGACTGTGCTAGAGCCAACAGTACCCCTCTGAGGGTGGATGACAAATTGCTCCTGAATTAAGGACTGCAGCCAGGGTGTGCACAGCCACCCTGTCTCTAGACCTCACACTGTCCTCTCCAGTTACAGCACTTTCCTTCTGAGCTCCAGAAGGTGGAAGCAACCCCTTGGAAGGATTCTGAGACAATTCTGCATGTGTTCACCCAGGAGCTTTTTCTGGGATCCTATAGTGTCAGTGGAAGTTTTCAGAACATTTTCAGAAATACTTACTTTCTTCATGTGGCTAAGAAATCCAGTTCTATAAACACATTACAGCCAGAGGAAGTACCTAGGGATTTCATATGGAATAAAAAAATCTCCAGCTGTATTGCCTATGACTCACATAAAAAGCCCCAAAAACTCGGACCACTTCTAGAACAGCCCAACTTACACAAGACTTTTCTACACTTGCTTATATACAACTATTTGGAAG